TKGKYYWAATTAATTAAATTAGAAGAATTAAAACTTACCACGGCTGTTCCGAGTAATTAGACTAAGTTCTTGAATCAAGAAACTAATTTTGTGTAAAACATATGATCAAAATTACACTTGGATGAAAATCACATATTTGGATTGGAAGTTTGGTAAGATTCACTTTCGCTTTCCTTTTGGTCTAGCTTTTTAAATTTCAAAATTTAATTACAAAACCCCCCATTTTTAAACTTTGAGAAATTAATTTCATTGGTTCCYTTGGGATTTGACCTGGTCTCACTACTTTTACAAGTTAAATTGAGTAAAATCAGTCTTTATTTTGGAGGGCATCGACAACCCTTACCAACAACCATTGGCAAACTAGACTTTTCACAACCTTAAAAACCCCAAGACAATCATGGAACCAACCTAAAGAAATGTTTAGAATAGATTACCTTGATGATCAATATCAAGAGTAGAGAAAGGAAACTCGTGATTTAAATCACTCAACAAGAGGTATGATCAACACCAATGATTGACTGTAACATGCAAATTCTAAAGACACAAGAAATTGCTTAAGAGATGGGAGCTGAAGCTTTCAATTAAACAAATGAGAAAAACTCACTTTCATTCAACTTTCAATTGCATTCCTGATAACACACTTTGTGAGCTACATTTCATGAGATTTATATTGAAATTATTTGTTAGTTTTTGTTTCTTCATGACAAATTTAAGCATATAAGATATATTTTACAGGAATAAAGTATCGGGAGGAAATGAGACATATTTGGATCAAAATGAGAGAAAAATAGGAATCAAAGTGACCAAGATGGAATAAGAACAAGATTTGAAGCCAAAAACCGGAGGAGATAGCGCCACGACACTGGCCTCGGCGCTCCGAAGTTTAAATTTTCTGTTTTGTGATTAGTGTAGCRCCATGGCGCTGCTGCGATAACTTTTTATAAAAATAGGATTTTGTAGCCGCCGAGAAGGGGGAGTTTGGGAGACGTTTTTCGGTAGTTTGCCTTTTTGGCCAATTTGAAKGGCAAGGAGAGCATTTGAGAKCTTAGAAAAGAGATTTACATGGCTCGGGATCTTGGAGCTCGCTTCGGGAATGGACGGTTGACACGCGGAACATAGTTTCTTCTCCTTTCTATTGATTTTTCTATTTTTGTTAAGAGCATCTCACTGTGATTTTATTGTTTTACATTGAATATGAGAAGCTAAACCTCTTATCTTAGGGATTAATGTAGCCATTAAACCTTATGGATTGATTGTTTGATTCTCTTGATTGAATGCATTTAAATATTTTATTTATGTTTCTCTATGCTTAATGCCTTTAATCTACTGGCCATAGATTGATTGATTTTAGACTTGAAATCTTACGCTCGGAAGAGGTGGTTTAGAGTTAGAACTGGGATGCATAACTAAAAGGGTTTTAAGATCGGAAGATTTAGAAGTCCTTTAGAGGTTGTTAA